ACTAAGACCTCAATTAACATCTCATAATTAGATCTTTTCTTCTCTGGAAGTTTTGTTGAATTTGGTGGTAAATAAATAATACACTGTAGATGTACTCTTGTTCTACACAAATACCATAAGATAATGTCAAACTAGAATATACAGGCTAAGTCAGAATTTCCTGACATACTATTACAGGTAAATATATAAATTACTATCATTCAAAAAGAGTGGCAAAGACTTGACAGAAAGAGCTCTAGTCTGGAACAACCTGGTATAATAAAATGAAGAGGATTGTTAGCATTAACAGAATTTTTTCTGTGTTTTAATAGACAGGGTCTTGCTCTGTCACTCAGACTGGAGTGCAGTACCATGATCACAGCTAGCTGACCGCAACCTCAAACTCCTGGGCTCCAAAGAATCTTCTTAGCTAGGACTCATAAGCGTGCACCACCACACCCAGTTAATTTTTCTTATTTGCTGTGGAGGACAGATCTTGCTGTGTTTCACAGTCTGGTCTTGAACTCCTAGGTTCAAGCAATCCTTCCACCTTGGCCTCCCAAAGTGCTGGGATCACAGGCATGATGAGCCACCATGCCTAGCCTACATTAATACAATATTAATGAGCAACAAAAGTAAGAAGTGGCAAAAGACGATTCTGTGTTACACATGAGGTTGGAAACAGAAAGCCAAATAAAACCCAAAACAAAAGGAAAAACAAGTCAAAAAATCGCTGTCGATAAACTACTTGAAAGAAAATAGCTGAGCCCATAGCTGAGGTAGATTAAAATAAACAAAAAGTCAGATTCTGAGCTGCTTTTCTAAATCATAGGTTTCCCTGCAAATATAGCTTTTTGAAACTTCTCTGTTTAAAAAAGCTTTAGAACTGTCAATCTTCTAGACACAATTATCTTAAAATACCATATGTAAACTATAGTAGAAATTAAATGTTTCCAAATTGTCACTTTTGTAATTACCTCAAAAAACTGTATGTAGAGCCAAACTGCTTTATGTTACAGTTGCAATATCCACTCCCTACTTCCTGCTCCCCTTAACAATTTCAAACAATTTTCAATTCATAAAGTCCTTAAACAACTTTAAAGCTGTTTCATGAGGAAGGACTGAAAAGACTAATGAAAAAGGAATGAGAGACAATCTTTTTATATAAAAGGGCCATCTGGTGAACCTAATCATCCTCATGTTAAATTACAATAAACAACTTAAGCCCACTTTAAAAATAACAATAACATATTACCTTAAGTTCTATGGTGAATGTCAAAACACCTGTCAAAAGTGCTGACAGGTAATGTTTATTCTGTTCAGCTCTTGAAGAAGTTGAAATACATTACTAGCAAACATGGATAAACCACTAAAGAATGATTATTCAATTTTTAGCAACTATGATCTATTGGGCTCTATATGTTCAAAGTCATTCCCCAGTGTTGAGGTCAGGGAGAAAGGCAAGGAGGAAAAATGGCTAAGACAAAAAACACTCTTAACTGTTAGGAGTAAGTACTTCATTTACAACATTCCATTAAAGCCAACGACATGATGGGAACAGAGGATAAAATCAAAAAAATTTTTTCAAAAGGGCAAATTAATAATGCCCTAGTTCAGAATAAAATGTATGCGCTAAAAACTAACATATGAATTCTTTAGAACAAAGAAACATAGGGGGCTTTCCTCCCATCTTGTTATGAGGAGGGGAAATGACTAAAGATTGAGAGTTGGGGCCCAGCACGACGGCTCACACCTGTAACCTTAGCACTCTGGGAAGCCAAGCTGGGAGGACTGCTTGAGGTGAGGAGATGGAGACCAACCCGAACAAGAGCAAGACCCCTTCTCTACTAAAAATAGAAAAAATTAGCCAGGCACTCTGGTAGGTGCCTGTAGTCCCAGATACGTGAGAGGATGAGATAGGAGGATCTCCTGAACCCAGAAGTTTGAGGTTGCTGTGAGCCAGGCTAATGCCATGGCACTCTAGCCTAGGCAACAGAGTGACAATCTCTTTCAAAAAACAAAAACAAAAACAAACAAAAAAAGATTGAGAGTTGGCAAAATAGCACCTTAAGCAAAATATCCCTAAATTTTCATGGATTAAAACAAAAAACCCATGCCTACAACTGATGCTAGTAAACATCACAACTTATGCTAGTAACCCAAAAGAAGATAGTTCTATGTGTTTTAAAAAAAAACAAAAAACACTGCTCTAAATCATCTGCTGAATGATGCAGGCTATTTAAAACAGAAGATGTCCATGGGTATAAAAAGCCCGAATGAAAACACATTAAGAAATTAATCATAATGTAACTAAGAAGAAACAAATAATAATAGCAAAAAAATGAGACTCCAAACTGGGCTAACATTTTTAACACTTTACCCCTGCTTTAAATTGGAATCTCACTTACCATAACCTACTTTGAATGGATATATTTGATATTAATTCTATGTAGTATAATCAAAATTGCTGGAATTAAACCAGTAGCTCTGGGGCCTCAAGTATCAGGATCTTAACATAGGTGGATCCCATATCTTAAGGAAGATTCACTCTTATTTTTAAGTTGCAAATAGATAGTGTATTCCTGACATTCATTATCAGTTGGTGGCTTACATGAAACAAAACTGACAAAATGGTTCTGACAAATAACTCCAGATGAAAACACACTACTTTACAAATGGCATAGTAATTAGACATAAATAAAATAGAAAACTTCAGGGAAAAACATTGTGTTCCATCTCACCAATTCATTCAACAAACATGTAATCAAGCATCTAGTATGGCCCACTGTGCTGGGCCCCAGCTCTGAATCTTTAATGTAGTATGGACTAATCAAAGGTGATGCTCAAGAAGAGACAAGTCATACCCTGTAAAAGTCATGTGAGGTAGAACAAACAAGTATTCTGTCATCATCGTATCCCAGTCTAACAGGAAATGTGGCACATCATTAACCTGGAATGATTTGCTAGTTACACTGAACTATAGTTAGAGATCCAACAAAGTGGAATTTGTGTGTGTGTGTGTGTGTGTGTGTGTGTGTGTATTAGGGGAAGGGGGAGGATTGAAGTGAAACTAAGCGAGTTTAATCCTATATATGGAACCTCTATAAGTTGACCACTACCCAAGGGACTATAACAAACTGGTCAACAAGAAACTAGCTTACTATACCTAAAATGTACATGTGGTGTATGTCTAGTCTATAAAAATTAGGTCAACTTAAGGACGTGGTCCACTACGGAGGTTCTACTAAATTATAACAAAATGTCCTCTTCCATTTCCCAAGTCCTCTTGGGAAATTTTGAAATCCCAATTAAATATTTGAATATATAAAGAACAAATTTTTAAAGTTTCAATCTCTAATATTTAAGGCTAAAGCAGATATGAAAGATTTTAATTTAAATCTCCAAACATTGTTTGTTTCTGACTAATATGTGTTTTAAGAAAACAAAGTCTCTCAATTAAATTACATATGTACTTCATATAACTCAGAAACTAAAAAATAGGTAAAATTAGAGGGTTAAAATTCCTTCTTGGAATGCAAACTACATTTCAAAATTCAACAAAAATTAGATGACTTGATATCCAAGCCGTTTGCTCATCAAATGGATCTTTATAGCACAATTACTTTAACAAATTTAGTTAAAACATCAATAATTCCCAAAAAAAGGCACTGGGAGGAAAAAGGTGAAAGAGGAATAAACTTTGTCTTTTACTAAAGAAATTAAAATTCCATTTGCCAATTTCAAAATGAGGCAAAAACAAAACTGGGAGATACTCATTACTCAATTTTTAATTTATCTTTATATTGTTTTTAAGTTTAAGATTAGATGCCTTCCCCTCAAGAATACTGAACTACAACACTAAATTCAGACAATCCTAGAAATGAAGAGCTAAGGCGTGGGGAACCTGCAGCCTTGGGGCCGCATGTGGCCTTCTGGATCCTTGGAGCCTTTTGGCTGAATCCAATTTTACAGATTTCATTTGTCTTCTTAAAAAAACAGGGAAAAAAGAAAAGGTAAAGAAGAAAAATAAATATTTACAAAGAACTCATATTAAGCACAATGTGTATGATACGTTTTAATCCCTGAAATAAAAAAGATTAGTATCCAGAGAACTATTAGTTTATGTACTTAAAGAAGAAAGGAAAAAAGGTAGTCCTGATAAATGGCATTTTCACTATAGTTATCATCAATCAGTCTTATAATCCATCAAGCAGACAGACAGAAACCACCCTGCCATTATTCAGTTGGTTATAGATGTGAAAGGCTTTCTGTTTCTTTATACCAGAACAAAATAATAAATGACAGGAGGTGGACTATATAATTTATCAAATACCTTTGATTAAATACAATTTCCTTTTAAAAACACAATAATAGTATTCTTCATACATATATTATTACCACTAAAGAACAGTATGATAATGAATTTTCTATTTAACTACAGCACAAAAAAAAAACAAATATTGCAAAATTGACACTCGTGTAAAATCTGGGGAAAATATAGGATTTAGTAATATTACATATATGATTAGAAAGTAAGAGGACCATATCAATATAACCTCCTACAAATTTTGGAAGCAAACTTTAATATCATAAATTATCACAAATTTAACACTAAATTTAAATTAATAGCTGCTTGGAGACATTACTGCCTGGTACATTAGTAACTGCTTTCAGATACTAAAATTTTAGTTAAACCTTCTCCTAGTATCATGAAATTAAAGCCATACCCAAATTTTGCAGCAATGTCATACACTTGTTTTTCATGTTGAAGAACCTTCTCACGGTCCCCCTCAAATAGTAACGTGGCTATACTTAGTTGATTTGGATCAAATCCTTTAAACTACAAAAAAAAAATAAAATAAAATATTATTACTATAGAGAGATCTTCTCCTACAAAATAATAAATTAAAATAATACATTAACTTTTAAGGAATCTATTTTGGTCATTATAATATAACAAAGCTGTGTAACAGAGGAATAATTTTTATTTCAAAATAGGTCACAGAGTTAATCAAAATGACTGTACTGGTATATAAATACAATAAGTAACTTTTCAAAATCATAAATGTAATAAAGAATCAAATAAAAGCTATAAAAGAAAAAGTAGCTGGATAGAGGGAAAAAGTAAAAACCAAAAACTACATACCAAAAGTATCTAATTATTTAATATATTCAAAGAAGATCTTATACAGAAAATTTAAATGGTATCTAAGAATAATCTTTTTTCTTTTTTTTAAGAATAACCTTAAAAAGAAATTACAAGTAACTTCATTAGGAAAAAATACTTTTTAAAAAGGTAAGAAAGACATTATGTTCTTGAATGCAGAACCTAAGTACTACAAACCTGTCAATACCTGCCCATAGTAATGCACTTGTTCATTCCAATTCTAATAAAGACCCCAAAGGACTTTCTAAAATGATGACAAATTTTTTTTAATTTTTCTAGAATAACAAAGAGGTAGGTGATAGTGATAACAAGGAAGATCCTGAATAACAAAAAAGAAAACTAGCCCTTCAACAATTAAATCCATTTAATTTTTCAAGAACTACAAGCTCATTAAAAAGATTTAGATGCATTAAGAGGAAGTCTATTTCGTGAATAAGAATACAAAGTGTCTCAGGCATAGCAAATCAATGTAAGAGAAGCAGCGGTTAATTAGTGAATGCTGCTGCCACAACTTTAACAACTGGGGAAGCAGGGGACAAAGATTAATTTAGATCGTCAACTCACATCATCAAATTGAAATAAATTCAAA